TACCTTTCTATTATCAATGGAGAAACTTAACTTACCCGTGGTTCAAATTTCCCCCTAGCAGAACCTCCGACACATTGAATCTGAGGAATTGAAGGTGATCTTCGTCCAGTGGTGTACTGGCCCTGGTGCAGGGTTAACGTTGTCACATCCGTCAAACGAACTTTGTTAGTGCAACCTATAAAAAAGTACAGCATCATAGTGATGAAACCAGAAATTTTCAAAGAAAGATGAGGAAGTGAGGGATACCAGGGAAAATGGAGAGAGGAATAAGCGCAACAAGAGCGATTCTTTTATAAAAAATTAAAAAGAAATATTAATTTCGTTAAAAAATCAATATTTCTTAAGTAAAATTTCACCAGCAAGAAAAAGCATAATAAAAAAGTTTACTAATTATGAGTGAAACTGCTGGAACAACACTAAATTTTTCATGAAAAACCATATTTTATACTTCCGGAAAAAGAGAAATTTGCTGTTATTAGGGAACCGGACATTCGAAAGCAAACATTATAGCCAATATGTCGCGTATTTTGCTTCCGTTATAATTCGAAACGGACGCACTAATGTTGCATCATGACTCCCTCCTAGATAGGTCATGTAATGGCGCGAAGCAACCTATATAAGGCCGCTGTGCCTGTGTTATCAGTTAGTGTGTCGATTCAGTGTTGCGCTGCGTCGTGTTGTAGCGGACCCTACTACCCCTAAGCCTTCGTCAAGTAGCCGATAACCCAGCCCTACAAGTCGAGATACCCAGCCAAGGAGCCGATAACACAGCCCTACAAGCGGAAATATCTAGCCAAGGAGCCGACTAGTTACCAGCTCGACAGGCAGGACACCAGCCGACTAGCCGCCAAACCCGAGCTCAACATTAATATGCTCAAAAATAAAAACATAACACGCCAAGAGTATAAAAAAAAAACAATTCGGAATACGGGGGTCCCATGCTGGGGTCGTTACTAAGATACTTCTACATGCAGAAAGCAGCTGTCCAGGTTCTTCGATCCCGAGCTGCATACCTTCAGCTAATATCCACCGTCTGCTCGAAATATCTCTACCATCCTCGATGTATTTTTTTGAAAATCATAACATTTAAAAATAAATAGCAATGCGCACCAGACTAGCCGGTGCGATCATGCGTTTTGTGCAATTCAGCCCATCGAGACGATATTTGCCTGTTAATGATTTTCACTGCTTTGTACTTTAGTCTATGCAAAAATAGTTCAAACATTGAAAACCAGACGTAATGATTTTTACTTCCTTGTACTTTAGTCTATGCAAAAATAGTTCAAACATTGAAAAACAGTTAAGAAAATGATTTTCACTGCTTTGTACTTTAGTCTATGCAAAAATAGTTCAAACATTGAAAAACAGTTAAAGATTTCACTTCCTTGTACTTTAGTCTATGCAAAAATAGTTCAAACATTGAAAAACAGTTAAAAACTTGATTTCCACTGCCTTGTACTTTAGTCTATGCAAAAATAGTTCAAACATTGGAAAACAGTTAAAAATATCACGTACCAGTGCATGAAAGCTGAATTCGAAAGCTTGAAGGGTGAATATCTTTCCGTGATTCCCGAGTTAATAGTTCACCCGCTAAAATTTTCACGGGCCGTACGTGTTACCCGTGGGTATGGGAAGGCTCAATTTGAATGGGCAAGGTTGAGCGTGGGCAGTGGGCCATTACCCTAAAATTTCAGCCTTGACTCCGTGGTTCCCGAGATAATTTACTCGTAAAAAACTTTCACGTAGCCGTACGCGTTACCCGCGGGTACGGGGAAGCTGAATTTAAATTTGCGGGGTCACACGTGGGTGG